GAGCCCCGCGTACCGCCAAAAAAAAAAAAGAATACTGCCGAACATCACTAGCCAAGGAGATCAAAATTCATAGTTTAAGCCTATTGCTTTTTCACCACTGTAGTCAAATAAATCACCTCGAACCATCATTAAGTCCAAGAGTGTTCGTACTTGTAGGTAGGATGAGGCATTATGTATGAGGAGCTTTTCTGCCCTCTGTTTAACAGGGATACTCACCTGCCAAGTGATTAAGCATTACATAAGAAAAAGGATAGTGTTTGGCAGAGCTGTACTCAAAAACAAAACTTCCTTTCCTGGAGGATATAGCTGGCCAGAGTTGAGTAGGCATGGTGGGGCAGAGATGGGACCAAAAAAATTGTTTTTAAACTTCCGGACTACTCCATCGGTTTTCACCCGAGCTTCCAGCACCTGAAAAGGCAGTTACTTTCTTAGCCCTCTCCAAACTATCAGTGTTCACCTACTCTATTTACAAAGTGGGCCACTTCTACTTCCAACCTCACTTCTAGAAGCCACTTTCATTTCAAACGGACTGCTATACATTGCCAACTGAAGACCAACGAGGATTGCCAGTTCAGTGACTTTCCTGTCCCCATTAAACCCCAGACAGCTTGGACACATGAGCCAGCCTTTTCATTAGGGCAGTAACACTCCCAACTTGGCCTTCTGCCAGTACTAAAGCTGGACAAATTATCCCACGCTGCTTATATGGCAATGGGGCTGAAGGAAAGTCAAAAAATCATTAAACTGGAAGTGGTGTAAATTCATGGTTTTAGAATCCTTTCACTTTTACCTCCAAGCAGTTATGTACGCCTGCCCTCTTCTACTTTTTGATTAAGGTACTCACACTCACTTCTTCACTTCATTCTTCACATAGCCTTTATCTGCAAGCTCTGCCTTTAGTACACAGCCCTTACCATCTGACTCAATTCACTTGTTTTCCACTTCTAGGTAAGGGGCTTTACAAAGCACTCTCAAGATTACCACCTCAAGATCCAAGAGCCTTTCTCTTAGGGTATTTAAAAGCCCTACAACCAACACCTCTTAACTTATCCTAATCTAAAACAGGGGTGAACTTACATTTAGTTCAAGGTCTCAACATCCTAATATTGAACACAGGTCAAATATTACCGGTTTTGAGATACTGAGCTGGTGTTATGCCCTATCACTGTACCCCATTCCCCATTAAATGCCTGTGTCATAGACTACCATGTGGGGAAGGTGTGACACAAAAAGGATTAAATGACAAATCAACATTCCAATTTGTATTTATTTGTAAAGCACTCTTATTGAAGCTTAACATGGATTTTATCTAAACTAAAAATAAATTCTCATTATAAAAAATTCTGGTGGCAGAGAGCCAGCTGGTTTCAGTTAAAAGTACTAGCTACCTAAGTTTAAAAGGATTTAGAAATTGTTTCCTGCGGGAGTCACTCTCTCAAAAATAACTTTCAGCTCTCAAAACTTGATATACTGATGATGGTATACTGAGCATTTCCAGTCCTCTTTCCAAATGTTCAATACAAACAGCCACCTCCACCCCCTTCCAAGGCAGCATTCATTAAGCAGCTTTTCAGCAACTTTCCCCCTTGGCTCTGATTTGAGGTTTTGGGACTTGACAAAAAAATGACCTCTAGGGCTTCCCTGGTGGCGCAGTGGTTGAGAGTCCACCTGCCGATGCAGGGGACATGGGTTCGTGCCCCAGTACGGGAAGATCCCACATGCCGCGGAGCGGCTGGGCCCGTGAGCCATGGCCGCTGAGCCTGCACTTCCGGAGCCTGTGCTCCACAAGGGGAGAGGCCACAACAGTGAGAGGCCCGCGTACCGCAAAAAAAAAAAAAAGACCTCTAAAGAATGCTAAGTTGTCCCCAAATGAAATCTGAATGAGTTATGTACTGAAGCAAAAATGCCAATTCACAAGTGAATAGGACTTCAAAAAGAGAGGGGGAAAGTCACCTACAGACTACTTTTCTGGAAGGTGTAATTTTGCTCTGGAAATAAAGGAAATATTCTCCATCTCAGGACCTCTCCAAATGAGACTATCAAGGAAGCTAAGTATCAATGTTTCCAGAGATTTTCACTTCAAGACCAAGTACATACATGTACTAACAGCTAAGGCACTAAGTGGCCAGATTCTAAGACTTTAGTAAAATAATCATATAATACAATGTTTTATGCATGTCAGAGAAGAACCAAGGAAAAACTAAGGATGAGAAGTAATGTTCTACACATGTATTTCATGTATTAGTCTGGGAAACATTTTGGCTGTTGTCACATCTTCCATCCAGGTAGTTAGAGGAAGAACTGGGATACAAAATGATGAGAATACCATATTATGAATTTCTGCAATTCCAATAAGCAAAAATTTGTACAAAATTAAGCAGTTATACCAGATTTATCAAGACAAATTTTCAATATCTCTTTCAAATTTTCTATCTCAAGTGTGCTGTATTACAGCTGAATTTGTTTGAAGTATCCAACGAATTTAATAAAGTAGGATGAAGAGAACTGTGTGGACATATAAAATTGAATTCAACACTATCAGAATGTTTTGATAAAAATATACTCCAACCGAGTTTTTCTTCAGCTACTTTAATTATAAAAATCTTCCATGTTCTCAAAAAAAAAAAAAAAAAAAAAAAGGAAAACCAGAAGGCAACAGTCTAGTACAAAAATATACAACTGGAAGACATTACCACCAACCAGGTCTGACAACTAAATCATGTTGGGGATTCTGAAAATAAAAGCACACTAACACAAAGTACTAAACCAGTGGTTCTTATATAACCAGGGATGGAAAAATGAGTCAGTAGGCCTGGAAAAGACCATTCCTGATAAAAAAGCACTGTAAGAATATAAACCATAACTCTACAATAAAAAGCAACCAGGACTTTCCATCCAGACATGGGTGAGTCTTAAAAGGTGGTGATGCCATCTACTGATCACATGATCTTTTAAGGAACTGTAAAAAGCCACAGAAACAGTAGATAAAAGGTAGCTACATCTCATAAAAATAAAATTTCTCTGGCTAATTTATCTTTGTCTTTACCTTTCTGCTTAAGACATGGAGGTCAGAAGTAACCCACAATGAACTGAGAACCACAGAATATTAACTATTCTTGAAAGCATAAAAACCAACTATAACCCTTAGATATGTTCCTTAAATTATCACCGAGTATTAATAGTGACCTCTAGTGAACACCTGTAAACACCACAAGTCAAACTTTCTGTGACTACTTTCAGTATCATATTCAACTGAGAATGCAAGATAAAACTGGCCAACGGGACTTGTTAATTTCAGAAATTACAGTAGAGAACTTTTTAATAGCCAGAATGTAAGGTTTTAATGATTTCTATCTTCCATATTTTTAAACAAGCCATAAAATTGTGCTAGGGTTTCTGGTTAAAGTGATTGCAAATTTGGACCCTAAGGATAAATCCCAGAGGTTAATTTTATATCAGGTCTGTATTAGCCACTTTATAGCTATAATCCACTATCCTTTTTACAGAAACCCTTCCAATTTAAGACTCTGCAAGTTGTATACTGCCAAAAATGCCCATGTAGATTTATAAGAGCAGTGTAATATTGATGTACCATATTACTTCCATGAATTCTTAGCTATCTTGCCTTGCTTGACCCCAACAAAGGTTTTAAGCTATGAAATGCCAGAAGACAAAAGGCCCAAAGCCTGAGCTCCCAGTAAATCAATAGGCAGTCTTAAAAGTATCTTCTGTAACAAGGCTCATACTTAACTCCACTGACACCAATTCTCCCCCTCTGACACCCAGGACTCTCCCTCCCTTGATATGTGCATGAAGGGTGAAGAAGGACCACTGGAAATAATTTGTTTAGGATCTGCATCTTATAAAACATCCTTATAGATTAATATAATGACTTATCTTTCATATTAATGTCAGTACAGCATAATCCAAAACTATCTTTAAACAGCACATTTAAGGAAACTAAGCCAAAAGACTGTTGCATTATGATTTAATCTAATTGCACAAAAATTTGAAATTACAACTCCTCTAGATTTCTAAGAGGAAGGTTACGCATGCCTCCATATTCAATTCTGCACTGTTACATTTGAACCATATAGTGAATTTCACATCATGATGGATCAATTTAGAATCCCCATGCAACACCTCAAATTATATAAAATGGAAGCAATTTTTAAAAGCTTTGTGGAACGTTATCATGCTAATTTTTTTTTTAAACCAGCAACTTTGGATTATAATGTATCAGGTGGTTATATTTTAAAATGTTGGTCACTGAATATCAAGGACTTTGAACTGGCTTCTACTCCTAAAAATGTATCATCGCTTAGGTGGACAACCAAAAATTCCCTTCACTTCAAAAGCCTCAAATTGTGTTTCTTACAGAATAAGATTTGTGTAACCAACAGCCTTCTATGGGACAAGAACTATGGTAATAGTGGGTTCAACTATTACACAATTATGTTAATATTTTATTTTCAAAAGCACTTTACAAGAAAATGTAAGTATGGCTTCCAATAGGAATGTTATACCTGGACTTGATTGGTACCAAGCTCAGATTTTAGTTTTGCAAGGAAAAACAGGCTTTCAGGTTAAACAACAATTTGTAACCAAAACTTTAATCCCAAGGATTCTCACAAAACATATTACAAATGACAGCATGAAAAAAAATCTTGCACAGTAACTCAAAGTTCAGCTCTACAATGTACCCTTAAACTGGCAGGACATAGGTATCTTGAATAGTCTCAAATTTCCAAATAATATTACAAACAGCTATGTATCCATATACAGCAATCACAGAAGGTAAACTAACTTTCTTGAAACTTCTTAGATTCTAAACCCACTGGACAACCTCTTGTCCGGTGTGAAGACTAGTGGAATTTTTTAAACCTCTAATCTAGTTTAAGGGTGCAGCTTTAATTTTCACCTGCTGGCTTGTGTTCACAGCAGCTTTTAAAGACCGCTTAACTACAGCTGCATACCATATCCCAGCTACACAGTCTTTTCAATTTTTGCCAGTTTTGTTTCCGTAATATTAAACATCACACTTTAGCTGGGCAGGAGTTAGAGATTTATTATCAGTCTATGCAAGACTAAAAATTCAAAGCAAATTCAATTTTGCTTAAGGGAACATTGTAAAGTAACAATTCTTGATATTACATGCCTCATATGATCCATTTCAAACCATAGAGAATTACATCTTTATGTGTCACTGTTCCAAGAGACAAACAAATGTGAACAGCTAAAACATTTTAAAAATGCACCAAGCTTATGAAGTCTCAAACAAAACTTGAATTTTCTGTACATACTCCTGTCAAATGAAGTTATTTCCTGTACACCACTCCTCTTGCAAACTGGTCTTCTATTTCCTTTCATTTGACCTAGATCGGCTGATAAACAGAAAAACAGAAGTTACACCTGTAACTCTGTCACACTCTGACAAAACATCAAAAGATTTTTATGGGAAAAAGTTGTAAAATTTGTATCCAAGTGGCTTAAAAGAAGACCTATTTCTGCTTTTAATACGTTACGTATGCAAGGTCTTAAATGGCTCAGGTCATTAAAGATCTTACCTACGAGACCTAGAGAAAGATCGGGACGGCTTGTGATTTCTCTCCCGGGACAGTGATCTCTCTCTTCTCCTATCTCTAGAAAGGGACCTGAAGTCAGAGGGAAAAGAAAAACAGTGCCATTCAGGATTATACACAACAAATACTTAAAAGTTTTTGAAAGCTAAAAGCTATGCCAGTTGATTCATTACTGAAGTCAAGGTCTATCACCATTAACCAAGTCATTTGGGAAACAGCTTAGGAATAGCACAGACACTCCCACTTCTGAGAATGTGGCCCCCCAAAAAGGTTATTCACCTGCTCCGGCTGCGGGAGAAACTTCTCCGTCTTGGAGATCTAAAAGCAGAAAACAGGAAAATTAGGCCAATTGTCAATTAGCATTTATGGCGTGAGGCATTTCCCAACTTTTCAATCTCACTGTTGGGCCCAGTGAATGTGCCGAAGAACTGGCACCCATCGTCCAAAAAATAAAAATTTTTTTTTTAAAAGAAAAGAAAAAAAAGGCACAGAAGGATTAAGGAACCAAAAGCTCAAGTGAAAAGCAGGTATTCCAACCATGGATTCACTTTAACAAAGAATGCTTCACAGCAGATCTGTCCAATGCAAAACTTCATGTCAAACTAACTTCACTACCCAAACACCACACCAAAATGTAGCCCCACAAGTAGTTCCAAAAACAGTACCATAAACCAGTATTTGGAACCCATGCAAACCTGCAAGTCCATGACAAGACTTAGGTATCAGGTGGATAGTGTAATTTTGTGAAAACGCGCTAGGTGTAAATACTGATGCCATTAAGTGCTACATTAGAACTGCATTTGTGATCATCACATTTAAGAGTGTGTTTAGGCTTATCAAAATTACCTTAGCTTGGCCCACTTCACCCCCATAATTTAAAAATTTTGAAAACTGTTAGTAAAACCATTTAAAGGTGATAGGATTCAACAAATTTTTGCTAGAAAGGAAAGCTAAATCTGTTAGTTATTAAAATTTTTAGTTTGGCATCTCACACATGCAAATAAGTTTCACTTGAAGGTCTAGTTACATTATGAGTTCCCTATCACCCTTAAAAGTTTTATTCAAGCAATATATATATGTACGTTACCATTCAATTATGCACAGCCAGCCTTTGATCCAGAAAAAAAGAATTACTTTAAGCCGCTTACTCCTTATTTTAACCAGCAGTAAACTGTATAAGCAGGAAAAACTTACTAGTTTTTGGGTTTCAACAAGCTAGAAATGGTGAGGTGAGGCTGCCGGACTGACGGCCAGGAAGAATTTGCTGAAAAGGTTTTGCCAGATGTTGCGTTGGATTTAGTTGGTTGGCGAAGGGGGTGTTGTGGATTTTTCCTGCTTTTTTGTTAGCCGAAGGCTGCTGCTGTAGTTGTTGTGAAGACATTTGGTAAATAAACAGCTGAGCTGATTGGCCAGGAATGTGTGGGCGGTCGAGGTGGCTGCTGCCGATTTGGTTAAGGTTGGAGAGAAGGCTGAGAGAAAACAGCATGCTCGGGAACCAAAGGGCGGTGCAACCTGACGACTGGCCATGCCTGGGTCATGTGAAACGACACCAGCCAAGCTGAATGGGGCGCGCTGGTCACATGACGCTGAAAGGGCTAGTTGACTGGCTAATGCAGACTCAGAGGGTGGTGAGAAGAGACATGATGGTGACTCTGTAACGGGGTTCATTTTTATTAATAGATGGACCAAAAAGCACAAAAAAAAAATGAAAAACAAGCCATCAGTACAACCATCTATTAGCTAACAAATACTCTTTATTATGATGGGCAACAGTGTGTTGTTTTGTTTTTCAAAACAGCAAAAGGGGCAAGATTTTGAACTCCTATCTCCTAGGACTTCACTCACCTGTAAGAGGTAAATTCAGTCCTACAGAAACTATTTGGAGGTTTGAGGAGATGTGGAGTTAGCATCCAGACAATACTGCCTGGTCCAAGAATGATGCCATTTTCAATTATAAAAAAAACTGCATTCTCTCCTATTTGGGTTTAAAGAACAGATGACTGGGATTACTTTAGCCCCCTTTATTGGTCAGTGACTTAAGTTAGTTTCAGAATGATTTCTACTTTACCAGTTGTAACATTAAAACAGCTGCCTGCTTGATAAATATTACAATCGTGCTAATAGAAAACACATTTTTGTGAAGAGCTAGAGTTGAATGTAATGTTTGTCATTATGGAGTCAAGAAATGGAAAAAGGCCTAAATTGAAGTATAAGGGAAGACTTGGAAAGATGCAACTAGAAGATGAACTAGAAGATAGATCCAAGGTAGAAGTTACTGACTACCAACATGAACAATGACCTAAAGACAAGCCAACACTCAGCACAACTCACATATCCCAAACTACACCCAGCACATGTTTCATAAAAACCTGATTCTTCAAAATTTAAAACCCACCAACAAACTTTAAGAGAAATACCTGCTCCTATTAGCTACTCCATTACAGCAATACCTCTAAACACGCTCTCTTTAAGTACCTGCGGCGAGGTGGAGGACTCCTCCTCCGATAATCATCTCGAGGGCGACGACCCCAAGAAGGAGGTGGGCCACGATTTCGACTTCTCTTTTCACCATTCGACAGTTCCACTCTTACTCGGCAGCCACATAGTGTTCTAGGAGAAGAAACGTTAAATTTAAAGCAGCCCAACTGACTTTCTAGGAGATTAAAGCAAGGGAAAAAAAAAAACCCACTCCTGTAACTAGCTTCTTTGCAAAAAATACATCTTAATGTCTGCAGAATCCTTAATACCAAAGCAAGTTTTAGTTCCCTTATTTTTTCTAGTAAAGGAAACCAACTTCCTTACATTTTATTGCCGTTAGTCTGATCACTGGACTCAATGTTAACAGGTGCAATTTAAGTGTGAAAACGCCTGGATTCATCCTCCCAGAACTAGTTCATCTGTACATCCTGTTTTGACTTCTTCCTTTGAGGCTGCAACAACTGTTTACCAATCTTACTCTATGTATCCATTGGTCTCCCCCCCCCCCCCGCCAGATAAGTAGCAGTAAGTTAAGACAGAAGCATTCTGGCCGTTTTACATCTCCCTCTCCCCTCAATCATCACACACAATACTTGACACGTAAGAAACTGCTACTGAGAACAGGAGGAAAAAAAAAAAGACAGTTATTTCCCACCTCTTCACTGGTCCACAACCATTATGTTTAGATAATTCACCATATATGGACAGTGACTGGCAAGAGGTGGGGCCCTGGAAAAATGTTTCTGTAACCTGCTTAGATAAATGACATTTTATACAGCTTTACAGCCAACTCTCAGACCCTTTAATTTTTGGATCTTAAGGATTATTTTCCTTGTTTTCATGAAATCCAATGGTTTTCAAATGCCAGGAAGGAGAAGGGCAACACCTGTTCACTGCTAAGACTCAGGTGTTGCTTATCAGCCAGCTAACAGACCATTGTAAATGCAAAGGGAAATAGCTGTATGAGCCACAGTTCCTGAACAAAATTATTTCCAACATGTAAAAGATAATAGTACAATAAACCCATGTAACCATCATCCACCTACAATCAGTTTGTGGCCATAAGAGAAATGTCTGATTCCACAATTATTTTAGAAACAATTCAAAGGTGACAACACAGTTGATGCTGTGTGGTGCATTTAGATTAAAATGTCAACCATATGCAGCTATCCACCCACCAAGAACTGACCGTTAAAATTATTTTCTTCAATGGCCAACTGAATAAAAAGAAACTTTTCCTAGGTATCTACACTAAAACTGTTCACTCCTTTGATTGCCAGAAAAGGTTTACGTAAATCTCCAGTAACATCAATCTCAGATAGCCAAGAAGCCATCTAAAAGCCACGTATCCTAGAGATTTTAAATATTAAAACACAATCAACATTATTTATCATTAGTATAAATTAATCAATAAATTACCTCCCATCTAGCTCTCGGACAGCATCGGCTGCATCTCGAGGATCTTCAAATTCAACAAAAGCGAAGCCAGGAGGGTTTCTAGCAACCCACACACTTCGGAGTGGTCCATAATAGCCAAAAGCTCGTTCCAATTCAGTCTTGTTACCATTGTTTCCAAGATTACCTACATAAACTTTACAGTCCAACGGACAAGAATCACGATGCATTTCTGTAAAAAAAAAAACAAAAACAAAAAAAACCCCCAAAATATCATAATCCACACAGTGAAAAACAGATCCTTAAGAAAGAATTCAAAAATACTAAAACCCCCAAAACTAAAAACACTACCCTTTAAACAGTTACCGATAACTGCATGGAAGCCAGCACAAATTGCCTAAGAAAAAAAAAAAAGAAGCCTCCTTGAAAAGTGAGGGGAAACTGGAGGAGCATTTACCACAAAGTGGAAACTGAGTTAAGGACTTTACCTATTTCAAATTAATCTTAAAAAACAAAACAAAACACCTAGAAAAGTAGGACAGCCTACTCAAAAGCAAATACAACTCGCTGAAGACAACCACTAGAAAAGTGATACTAATGTGCCTTCACAGGCCAAAAGTTAACCAGCTTCATTCCTCAAGCAGCAAGACAAACTTGTTATTAAAAGATGTACCTCATTCTATTCTCAACACCCAAAAAGTGTTAACCCAAATGTCCAGCAACAGGTAAGTGGATAAGCAAAATATATTATCCATACAATGGAGTATTATTCAGGAATTAAGTACCCATAAATGCTACAAACGTGGATGACACTTGAAAGCATGCTAAGTTACAGATACCAGACACACAAGTGCACATATTACGATTCCGTGCATGTGTAATATCCAAAATGAGTAAATCCAGAAACAGATCAGTAGCTACCAAGGGCTGGTGGAGGAAAAGGGGACAGGGCAAAAGGGAAGTGGCTGCTTATGTGTACAGGTCACCTTAGGGGGTATAAAACGCGTTAGAACTAGAAAGGTGATAGCTGCATAACATTGTGAATGTACTAAATACCTCTGAATTGTGCACTTTAAAATGAATCTTACGTTAATTTCACCTCAGGGGAAAAAAGTTGTTATACAAGAATTTACGGCACTTAGGGGGCTTTGATAAATCTTAAGTACTTAAGAAGTCTTCTCAGCAATGAATCTAATCAACTTATAGGCCAGTATCAATTGCATAAAAGAGCAGCCTGTCCAAAAACTCAGCTCAAGAGCCACTTTCTTCTCTCTCTGGGCTTATCCAATTAAACAAGCCAGTCGAGACACA